GGTAGGATTTCTCAGCCTGTTCAAATTTGGTCTGCTAACTCAAAACGTAATTTTACGTTTGTGTCTATTGTTTCATTTACTTTCACAGACATAACACTCCTTCATCTAAGTAACTTTGCTATTCACTATTCCTTATCTACTCCAGTATCTTTGTGCAGTTCTGTATCTCCAGCATTTCTAAAGTTCATGGGTTTGACACCATTTTCTGTTTCCTACTTTTGAGTATGCTAGGGCTTCAGTTTAGGTTCGTAGTCAGAAGCAGTAACTGGCAAAATGTCTGGAAAAAGAGACATTAACAAAAATATTACCCCTACCTTCAAAACTCTGCTCAATTATGGTCTCAGGGCACCCTAAAAGCAACACTGCCACAATTTCTTTAATTTCTGCATCTACAATTTCCTTTTCATTGAATCAAGCAGACACATGGTTATATGTCACTATCTATTTTGTACGGAGTAGAAATCTGGTGTACCTTAAAACTTCAACACAGAAGATGGAGGAAAAGAAATTTATAAAAGGAAATTTTGCAATTCATTTTCTGATTGTACTGTTTCCAACACACGGTGGTGCTTTATTACTCACTTTGTAATTTCTTTATTCGCATGCAAGTAAATCTTAAACACAGGCATTACGCTTGCTAGATGACTTTTTTTTTGCTTCATTTGCAAAGTCTGAACTCAGTCTTCGGAGTTGATAAAGCAGCAGAAAACAAACATGCCTTTTGAACAAGCATTCTGGGCTAATCGCTCTTTCCAATTACCAGTGCGTGTCTTTATTCACCTCTAGTCAGAATTCCTCCCTACGCCTTCCCTTTCATTCAGGATTGCTACTTCTTTTAACCACGCAGTGTTCTCCTCGTAACGCTATGAGACAAGTTGCACTGACTTTGATCTGCCAAGTGATCTTACCTGGCTCCCCAAGTTACCCTGCAGGTTGGGCACAGGTCTTTCCATCAGGCAACCTTTCACGCTGCCCGCTGAGCAGCATCCTTTGCTACGCCAGGAACGCGCCTGGGGCAAAGTGGCATTAAGGCTCCTTCACAGACCGTCCCAGGGCAGTGGGTAACGTGAAATTCCGGACCAGCCCCGCTCAGTAGGTCCGTCCCTACCTGCTGTGGCCTCAAACACACTCTGCCTGCAGACGAAGCTGGGAAGAAGTGGCGTAGGGCAGATTTATACATTACGATGTTCTCTTTCCAAGTTATCTTCAGTAAATTCCCCGCTGTTCACTGGGATTGGTGTAGGCGTTTCTAGAAAGACCAACTGGGATACTCTGGGGACAAAAAACTGCCTATGATAAATACCATATAAAAAACCCCCAAAACCAAATACTCTGGACTAGCGCACAAAGTAAACAAATTTCATCTGCAGAGGCCTCTATCCAACAGCAATGCTTAACAATTTCCCACTTTTCTGCCATTTCTGGGCTTCCTTTGGGAAGGACTGCCATGAAACCAAAAAGCAACGGACAACTTTAATAAGCTCTGATATTTCTATTTCATTTCTGGTGCTCTAAAGACATCACGAGGTCAAAGTAGAACTCTTAGCAGGTCATATTTCCGTGCCCTTTCACGCGTAAGCTAGAATCAGCAACTTCAAAGCTACTCCACTAACGCTTAAGGTGAAAAAGACGCAGGAGGCCTGCTGAGGTAACAAAATAAAGGCAGAGGAAACAAGATGACTTGGAAAGTCCTGGCAACTCAAGCTGTCTCTAGCACGAAAGACTGCATCACAAAGCATCTTGTAGAAAACAAATAGCTTTTAGTCTAAACTATTTCTCTGTCTGACGCTAATTACATTCTATATATTACACTTCCTTGAATTTTCTCTTAAAAAACCCAAACAAAAACCCAAACCCACAACACCGAACTGCGGATAGACAATTTTCCTCACAGATTGCGTCACAGTGCACACACCTGAAATTGCTGTGCTGACCTGAGACGGCAACTGTTCTTTCCTTTTTAAAGCATAAACATGCTGCTGCCAAAGAAGGAGTCAGAAGAACTTAAGGTAAAAACTAGTGTTAAGCATAAAAGAATTCTCTAAATATTAACTTATCTAAAATGACAGCTACAAATCTTGAAAAGAAAAACGAGCAGACAAATTCAATAGAAATAAAACCTGTGAAACTCTTCTAAGCTCAAAAACAACCTCGTGTCAGTAATGGCTGGAATACTGGGCCGATGCATGTCCATCATACATACGCAAATGGAAACCATTGCACATACCCATACTCAAGCACTGATTTCATAAGAAGAATTACCCATTCTGTACTCACTATACTTGATTATAAACCAAAATAAAATGGAAATTACTGACAGTGTCTGAGGAGTTCGAGCAGTTTTAGGAGAAAGACATAACCTCCTGTGAAAAATCATGAGAGGTTACATAACACGTAACCTCCTGTGCAAAATCAAACAGTGAGTAAATATTTTCCTACTGCAAGTGAATGCTATTTAAAATAAATTTCAGTCTTACCTTAACCTTAAGCACAGAAGAAAACATTTTGGCCTCTTCAGACACTCCTCCAATGTACATTTTTTTGGTGAAGACAGGCACGTGGTCATTTTCATCCTTCACTTCAATAAATACCTTGGCTGTATTACCTAAGAGAAGGAATGAAAAGTCTATATAGAACATTTGGCCAGAATTCTTTAAACACCTATTGCAGTTCAAATGTTTAGAGCCCAAATGGATCATGTAAAATACATGTGCATGGATAGCACTGTAAAAATACATACATTAGAAATAATAGCACATTTGGTATGGAAAGTATGAACTTGAAGGACGTAAAGAGATTTCATGTATTTTTTGTTTTGTACTCTACCTTTATAGTTTCTGCATTTGCCATTTTTTCTGAATGAATCTTGAGCTGAAAGTTGTGCCTTTATAGAAAATGATTCCCATTATCTGTACACCTGCACTTTGCTATTAGGGGTATCTGAATTTGCCCCTAAGCAAAAAGACGCCACGGCTTTCTTTAGAAAGCGTGTTATTTGGGGAAAATATAAGAAAAGACTTGTAAGTAATTTTTCAAATAAACAGAAAAGCACATGTAAGAATACTGTACTTTAGTAACACGGATTTTGGTCACATTAAATTCTCCCAAGTGTTATAAAAAGATAATGAACAGGTGATGTATACTAGGAGTTACGTTTCAAGCAGCAGCTTGTTTTTTCCACTTCACGTGCAGCTTGCTTTATGTATTTTAATTACCACTAGCTCCCATGCAAATGCCCAACAGGTGATTCTGCCATGGTGTCTCTAAACTCACCCATGTTCATACAACAGCGCTGGCAGAAACATCCCTTGGATAACAACATGATACTTTACATTGCAGGTCAATGCAGCGTTTTCTATACCTGCTTGAGTCATAAAGCACAAACATCTGACGGGTTTGACCATTCGTGTGCTAAGCAACCTCAACACTTAACAAATTCACCGTGTTAACTGAGCGCGTGCGTAAGTCTGTCTTCATCACAAACCTGGCCCATGGGAACTCGAGAAGTATTACTTCCCCCCTAGAGGTTCAACACATCTTCAAGCAAAACACTGCCATCAATTTGTGTTTTATTAAACAGTTACTGATCCACCCCACTGAACAATAAACATCTTTCTCCTTCTGCAAGGAAAAAACATCTAGCAAAAATTATGGACCTAGTGCAAAAAAGATTCAACTGCGCAGTAATCTATACCAACATCTGTTTGTCTCTTTCAGAATTGTATAATGCAGAAAGATTGCTGGAAATGATGATATCCAGTTCATTAAAACCGCATTTTCAAGTGATAAATTGCCTCATTTCAGAGTTGGTTTTCCCAACTTGTTTCAGTGCCAGGGTAATTTAAATGTTGCACAGGTGCCATGCTGATCTGAGTTAGCTTCAAAACAGTATCTCATTTAAAAAGAGCTTAGTAGCTTTATCTTTAGGGGACAAAAAAATTAAAACCCAGACTGTTTCTTAGATTGCCGAAGTCACCAAAGGTATTCTGTCTATCTGATGGTCCAAGTGATGGGAAACAAATGAGGACTTCATAAATGTAACTGAAATCTGAGAAAAACATTTAAAATGCCATCCAATGCATTAGTACAGAGAGAAGGAAAAAAGAGAAAGGAAAGAAAAAAGAGAAATGACGTTTCCTCAGAGGAATAATAAATTATTCACCTTCTACACTGATCTGTGCAGAGACGTTAAACAACTTGTAGGTGCTACTACCTCACGGGAAAATGACTTCATGACAAGCTCTCTTTTTACGGACGTGAAAAAAAAAGCCACAATCCAGCATCTGAATGTGTGTAACGTGGACATAATGGTCTATTCGTAATCATCTCTAGTTTGCTTATGTTCATTTTAAAAGAACGCTTCTTACCTTGACTACATTATTTATTACAGCGAAGGAACATTTCAGTCAAAGAGGTATTGTGAGGTCCTAATGAATAGTCAAATCTCTCTCCCGTTAAACTGGATCCTTAATGTTTCTCGCTGCAATACTAAGTTAGAGTTAGAAACTGCAGCCCTGTTGAGAAAAATGAGATTCCCGGGCAGGCTGTTTCACTGCAGCTATACCCTTTAGGGAAGAAGGCAATTGGAGCAGGATTACAGGCAATGTGTCTAAGTGACCTTGCCCTGCTGAGCTAATAAACAGTTCTATCAATGGCTGGCACCGGTTTACTGCTGCAGGGAAGATCCTAATTGCATCACGTTCGGCTAGGCATTTGCTAACCTGCACTAGCTCCCTCTAATGCGAATCAAACATTATTTGCATAGCGCTTGCTATCTTCACCGTTTCAAAGCCAGTTTTGGTGAGGTGGCTTAGCCTCGTGCAAATTTGCTCAAAAGCATTTGTTTCATTCACTGGTAGTCCTCTGAGCTGCCAAAATGCTGATTTGTTTAGCAATGGTTGAATGCTCTGAAAATGAGGAATTAAAGTTATTGCATTAAGAACAAAGCAAATTACATGTCCTGCATATATACAGATTAACGTTAGCACCGTTAACGTTAAATTACGTTAAGCATATACCTTCATTTTATCTTAGTGCCTGATTTTTGTATACAGCTTATGTCTCATTCGTTCTGGCAGGCAGAGGGGAACGCGGCATCTGTGAACTCCCCACTACCGCGTGCTTTTTATTTCTCACACGGGATAAGCCTTGAAGAAGCGTGCATTAAAACCCCTCATCGGAAACCGTGCCACGCGTGTGAAGGCTGCGCCAGACCCTTTGCCGTGGGGATTTCCCCAGCCGCTCTGCTCGACTCGGTCAGATACGCCCTGCACACAGGGCTGTGGTGCCGGGGACACGGGGTACGGCGCTCCGACGTCCACCTCCAGTGCCCTGCCTGATTGAAACGGCCACCCAACCTGAGTGTGCTCTCACGGAGTCTGGTTACAGCATTAGACTCTTTTTTCCTTCATCTTCCAAATATTTAGTGCTTCTTCTGAATACTGTTTGCACGTGGCTCTTAGCCCTCTTTTCTGGTACCTGAAGGGAGGCAACAGCATCCCCTATACGACGTGCCCTGTTAGTTACTGGTACTCTTGCAGGGCACTGAACACTGAAAGACACCGATATTTACGCTCACCTTCCAGAGGGGAAATTTTGTATCCCCATGTATGTAAAACCTTGCTTCTCTGGTATTCTAGATCTGGAATTTTCATGGATTCCAGGAGCTGAAGCCAGAATTTACTGGTACTTCTTGTGAGACCTCATGCAATCAAAGTATAATTCTTATTACTGTGACTGAGCTACGTAAATAGCTGGCCAGGGGAAAGAAGAAAGGATCTTTCCCTGGACAAAGCAGCACAGGACTGCCAAGGCGGACGAAAAGAGCAGAGAAGAAAATCGAGTGCTACGACTGCCTTCCTTCAGCCGTGAGAGAACTGCTTCTCTGCACGCAAAGGATGCAGATAATATTTGATAAGCAAACAGCTTCTTTAATTTTGCTGCACATTTTTATTGCTAAGACACATTTATTGGCTGGATTTTTCACACCAATTAGTTCAACAGCCATGAAGGCCAGGTCAGCCTCCCAGACAATACCCTGCAAGGGAAATTTCTGTACCACAATCTCCTGCAAGGTTTCCTGTGCCACGCTTGCCTCCTCTCTTCCAGACTCCTCTGAGACGAGCTGCCGCGTACAAAGTATACAGGACTGCAGCTGCTTGCAAGTCATCTTCAGCTTGTAAGAACCAAACGCATTGCATCACTGCTCCAGGTAAATAATTGCTCCCAAGACTAGGCATTTGGATCCTTCAACTCCTGTGGTGTGCTTAAGGAGAGTGAAAATATCCTGAAAGCTGCTCTAAAGGAAACCTGAGGATCCTCTGAAAGACATAAAACTAGTAGATCATGAATGACTAACATAGAAAACAAAAGCAACAACAAAAACTCCAAGGAGCTGGTCAGAACTAGTGTGTACGAGCATTTCCAGAAGTTTTTCCCAAACAGGCTTGTGAAAACTCTCTTCCAGTATCACTGCTTATCTAAGTAGTGCTAGTAATGGGCCCGATCCACGGGAGCCCGCAGTTTCTCACCAGACTGCAGAAATTAAGCCGAACTAAAGCAATGCTTTTTGAACACTGGGACAGTGTCAACTATGCCTTGAGTGTTACCAGACTGGTTTTACGTTATGCTTTCACCAGTGATACTGCACTTGTCTTCTACAATACGCCCAACGAGCCATTGATAGAGCTGCTCTTCATGCATCGGTAATTTTAACATAAAAAACCCCACACCTATCTTAAGCAGCTAGGTAACAGCAGATTCTTGTCTTTTAAAAGTTCATTTTAATCCAGTTGGGAATGAGAATTGTAATTCCACCGGGTTCAATAGCACTTTGCTTTACTGCTACCTTACAAGCCTGTCGGGCAGACTTCGTGCTTTGGCAGGTAAACTGAACTGCAGCTGCGCTCAATCTCGTCTTACTAAATTTGGCAGAACCAAATAGCAATCAACACCAAATATTTTTTCAGTGGCATTTTGATCTAAATCAGCATGTGCTCATAAAGCCTAAAGAAGCTCATATGCCACAGCTGATCAAGAATAGTGCAAAAAGGAAGCTTCGACGAGACATTAACAGCAACGTATTTGGAACAGCGCTGACCCAAGGTCTGATTTAAATAAACACAAAACATCTTTTTATACCAAATAGTTAATTGAAAGGGAACTCACATTTTATGCAGTCTCTCTAAAATACATTGCTTTGTTGCCCAAAGGAATTTGAATTTCGTCCCAGTGGTTTTCAGGGAAACTACCCCAGAGCCGTGTGGCAGAGGCGGCAGATTCGCAGCTCTAGGCTCTGCAGCGGATTTTGTCCATCTGTCACGTCTCCCGGATTCAGGGACTGGCATGGCAGCCAACTTACAAAACACCGTCAGCACAAACTTTTGCGACATGTTTGAAATTAAAAACGTAAGGCTGACATAAAAGTCAATAATCCAGGGACACAGAATTAATTTTAGTATTTAACTTAGTAAAACTATCGTTCCCAACTAGTATGGAGCAGTTGCACAATTTTGGTTGCAAAACTAGTTTTATCCCTTTTTGCTTTATGATTCCCAAAGGTTTATTTTGTGATTAGAAAACGAAAACCGTTACAGGAGAGAGAGC